TTCAAAGTACTTTAAAATTTGTGGTTTTGTCTTTAATTGTGCTGTTACTGTGCTTGCTCATGAGTTGTGGGTGATAACATGTGATTATCATCTGCCTACTTGATCACATGCACATTTGTGATGCTTGCAAGAGCAAACATTATCTGGCTGGGATCTGTCACATTCTCAGAGTTTCAGAGACTGTTTCCCAGACAACAGCACAGTCCCCTTCATCCACGAGCCGTGCACCACCGTGAACCTGCCCTCAGTCTAACACCTGGTGGCAGCTGCTGCTCCCACTCCTGACACAGACAAGATGTTTGTAGAACCATAATCCAACTGCCTGAACTCTGCAAGTCAAGGAAACTGCACAACTGAAATTAAAAAGTCAAAATGAGTCAAACAGCACCTACCTTGTTACAAATTCTGAGTCAATTTTTAAATTGAAACCAGACCACTCTTTGCCAAAAGCCATTTAAGGGCCGTGTACTACCTGTTTAAGACCTCTGCTGCCAAACATCAAGCCAAGCACAGCTGTGTAAGGTGGTAAATCATTTCTCTGTGGTAATTTGAGTGTGTTAAAACAAAGGAGCCCAGAGGGCAGGTGGAAGAGGGAGTGTCAGAAGTAGCTCAGGCCAGCTGGGTGGGATCCTGTGTGCAGGGCGTTTACATTTTGGATGTTGTCAGGTGGGGGAGGAAGCTGATAAGAAAAAATAATTATTTGCATTCAAATTATATAAACAGTGCCAGAGCCTGGTTAGTGTAGGCAGTGTTAGACAGAGTGTTTCCCAACTGCAGGAGATGTATCACATGCTGGGTAAGGAAGGTATATGAGGCAACAGCACTCTGAAGGTGTGCAGCTCTAAGCCTCTTGGCACGTTTTATGGCAGAAGAGTAAAATAAAAAGGATCTGAAAATCAAATGTTTGTCCCAGATCATTCTATTAAAGATGCACATTTTTAATATTCCCTAACTTAAACTTTGCATTGTGAAGCAAAGATAATGTCTGGGTTTTAATTTATAGGGGGGAGGGGGCAGGATATTGGTGGGATTTGGGCAGGGTTCTTCAAGGTGTGCAGGGGTATTTGGGGAAGGGAGAGATCTTAAATGGCAGATAACAAAATCTCAGTCTCCCCTTGATGCTCTTAGCCCCAGTCAGCTAAAACTGTGCAGCTGTAGCAGCAGTGTAGCAGTATCACCAATCAGCAGTTCAGATCCCAAGCTGTCCTTCTACATCAGGTGGCCACAGGTTTCTGAAGATCTTATCACTAATTTGTTGTTTTTCACTCGTTAAGAATGACTTCAAATGTGAGTGGAATATTAAATTATTTTGCTTATTGATCCTGTGACACTCCATCCAAATATCCTGTAAGTTTGCAGAGGGGCTCTCTGGGGTGTGCCATTCCCTCTCTGGGTGCCATGGAAGATCCAAGGTAGGATCTGATGGGAGATTTACCACCCTCTATATCACCCGTTCCACTTCTGACTGCAACTCTGCCTTTCAGGTCTTCAAGAAAAAGCAAATCCATGGTCAAGATGAAGTGGTGATTCTCTTTCCAGCCGAAGACAGCTTTAAATTTTTTTAAGATATCCCTCACCTCCTGTTGAGAGCTTCTTCATCCTGTGAATGATGTCCTTGGCTTTCCTCACTGTTCCCATAAAGTACCAGTGAGTGCACAGGTGTACAGCAGGACATTTGCACTCTCAATTGTTCTCAGGTTTTTGGGTCTGGACATCTCCGTTACCTGAGACATTGGACTGGCTTTATTGAAATCACATCCCGGAGAGCTGTGCAGTGTAATTGTAGCTGTGGTAACCAATACCTGCAAAGGGAAGAAAAGCTACTTAATCACAGATGAGTACTTGTGCAAATTGAAATCTAAAAGTCTGTTCTCACAGAGACACACAGGGAGTGGAATACACAGACAACACATGAGATCCAGCACCCCCCTCTCGTGGTTTTCCCACACAGAAGGCAGGAATCGATCCAAACTGATTTCTTAGTAATTATATAAACACCTGCAGCTCTTCTCTGAAAGCTGATATAGTTACTGGCATTTAATTTCTTCTTCACAGTGACAGGTATTAGTCTGAGGATAGAAAATGATAATCTGTAAAAATTTTTATTAGTACTTCCTAGGCAACTTGATGGCTATTTCTGGTGGAATATGGAAGACTAAGGGAAAGGAATTTGTTGGTTATTTCTATAAGCTCTTTTTTCTGCAAACTGAGGGAGGAAGTAAATACCACAGTATAGAAAACAAAACTCTCCTGGTCATCTGATAAAGTGCAGAAACAAATACAGGCATTTGGTTGTCTTACACTGCTCTGTGTTGTAACTGAGTTGAACTGAATTGCATGATACAACCAGCAAGTCAGTGTTTGTCAGAGGGTGAAGAACAAATGCACTGAACTGAGAGAACTGCTGTAGGTCTGGCTAAAGCCAAGCTGGTTCCAGTGGGTGTTTTGGGGCTGCACAGCATTGGTCAAATCAGCCCTGACCAGTTGTTCTTGCTCTGCAGCACTAGCATGGTTTTCCTGTCATTTTTTCATTTCATTTATGGCTCAGTGTGCAAACAGAAATTTAGCTGCCTTGTTCCCTCACAGTGCTCATCCTGGCCACGTGAAGAGCTGTTCCAGAGCACCATGAGCAGCAGCCCCAGAACAGAAATAGCTGTCCTCAGGTGGCCCCAGGGCCAGCCCACACAGCCTGGGCAGAGCTGCAGAGCTCAGGGGCAGTTTGGCAGTGCAGCTCCCCTGCTTGAGGCTGTGAGGTTTATGGAGCTCTCAAGTGCTATTTGCTGCATTCTGGTCCTTTCCCTCTGCCCTGGGTCAAATGAAGGCTACAGGTCTCAGCGGTGAGGAGTGTGGGACATCTGTTCTGAAGAAGGAAGGGGAAGGACTTTGGGGTGGGAGGCCAATTTGCAGCAGCAGTGGGGACTCCAGTGTTCGGACTCAACATCAGCAGTGAAACTCTTAATGCCTTGCAGAGGATGTAAAACTGGTAAAGAATGCTGGTTACTTCAATAAAAACACATTTTCAGGCAGCAGTTGCATTTAGCAGTTGTGAGCAAACAGCCCCTGAAGGACACATAGGAAGACTAAGGAATCTCATCATGGGTTTCCACAGGTTTTTATGTTCTCTTCTCGGTGTCCATCATCGTCCTCAGTGATCATTTTGGAACTGCCTGGGACTGGACAAACTTAACTGACAGAATGTTTTCTTTCATTTCAGTTATTAGACAAATACTGACAACATATAGGGGCAAAGATACTGTATTTCATGGTATTATAATATATGTAAATAATTCTGAAGTTTAGGTTGTGCCACTTTTTATTCTGCAGTTACAAATGTGCATTTTATTTTCCTAAAGTCTGGCTGTATTATTTATAATTGTGTTATTTCTCTTACAAGACAGGTTTATAAGTAGTTCCACACTTGACATCACTCAGATATAGAGATCTGCTTTAACAAATCTCCTGTTAAAATAGCCTGAAGTTTACATGAGCAAGAACTGCTGAAATCTAGCTCCTAATCTGCACCATATGTTAGCATATGCTTCCTTCTTGGAGATGACATTTTGCTTTGCTTCCAGTAGATAACATTTCTTTTTCAGAAAAATACCCTGATGAGGCTACAGGCAGCCTGATGGATAAGGAATGGGTGTCTGCTGCACTGTCCCTGCCATTTAAGGGACACCTCCTTCCACAGCTGTGTCACACTGAGAACCCTCAAAATGCTTTGCATTTTTAACATCCTTTGCAAAACTCACCAGTTGCAAAAATCACTCGGTGGCTATTCAGACTACAATGGATTTAGAGCTGCCTCACAATCTTCCAGCAATAGCTCTGTCCACTCTGACAGATCAGTAGCGCGTTAACCATGTTCAGGAATAGTCCATGAGGTCAAAGAGTCAGGGAAAACAGAATCAAGACAGGTATGCCCAGCAAAAAATTATTCTCTTAACAGCTCTCATTTAAGTATTTGCTGCTGGCTGAACCTGGTATTTACCATTAAATAGTTGCTTCTCTGTACCAGAGCTGCTGGATTTGATGTTCGGGATGCACAGGGGATGTTCAGTGCCTGTGAGTACTGGCACAGGACTGGGATTTCTGGCACGGCAGAGGGGTGCCAGCGATGTCACGGTGTGACAGAACCTGTTTCTGGGAAGTTTCCCTCTCCTGCTTTTCCACTGAGGCTGTTTTTGTGCGGTTACGAGTGCACAGGGGTCACTTTGTGTGCATGAAACGCTACCCGGCTGTTTGACCAAAGCCCCGTTTTCACTGAACTCACGGCACTTTCCAACATTGTCGGGAATTTTAGAAGGAAGCGCTTGACGGCGCGCCAAGAAACGCATGTGGGTCTGTTTGGAGCCGTGACCACTCCTTTATTACGGCCGTAAATCAGGCCGGTTCATGCCGCGGATGAGTCGGGAGGCAGTCGGTGCCAGCTGCCGCGTCCCTGGCAGCGGTGCGGGTTATGAAACCCTTACGAAATCTCTTACAAAACCGCCCGGGCCGGGCCGCTGGCCCCGCGCCTGCCGCGCCTCACGCGCGTGACGTCACACACCCGCCTGCCGCGCTCCCGGCGCCCCCTGCCGGCCGACACGGGAAGGCCGCTGCGGTGTGACGTCACCGGGCATCTACGGCAGCGCTGACGTCATGGGACACCCGCGGCTCCGGCCCCGCCGCGCCCGGCAAGGCGGCGAGGGGCGACGGGGCCGGGCCGGGCCGGGCCGTGCGAGCCCCGGCCTGACCGGAGCGCGGCTCACAGACCGCACCCGCCCGTGTTGGCGCGATGGGCGGCGGAGCCGGCGGTGCCACCCCCGGGTGCTCCCGTCACCCGGGCCCGGCGGGGTCACGGGCCGCGCCCGCCCCAACCTCACCCCAAATGTCCCCGGTCGGGCACGGCCCCGGTCACGCCGTACGCGCCCCGTGACGTCAGCGCGGCGCCACGCGACGATTGGCGGGCGCTGCCCGCGCAGGCGCGCGCGGCCGGCGGCAGAGCCGTGCCCGCGGAACCGAGCGGCGGCGGCGGCGGCCCCGGAGCGCGCCTGGGCCGGGCCCCGCAGCCATGAAGATCTGGACTTCGGAGCACGTGTTCGAGTAGGTGCCGGGCAGGGAGGCGGGTGGGCGGCGGCGGGGCCGGCCCCGGACGCGGGGGCCTCCTCCGGCGGGCCGGGGGCTGCGGGGACTGCGCCGAGCCAGGGCCGCTCCCCGGGAGCTCCTCGCCGCAGCCTCGCTCCGGCGGTCGCTGCCTCTCGCCTCCCCTGACGTTTCCCCGGAGCCGGCGGGGCTGCGGAAGCTCGGCAGCGGCTGTAGCTGTGCGGGGCCAGCGGCGCTGTCGGCACCGAGCAGCGTCCTTGTGCTGCCCTCGCCCGCCCCGATCAGGCCCTCCGTGGTGTCGGGGCTCAAGTGCTCCGGAACACCTGCGTTAAAAATAATCTGAAGGGAGTACTCGTTAGAGGGAAGTAGAAACTTAATAAATCACTCCGGTATTACGAAAATCTGGATAAAGAGCACTCTTTTAGCATGGTGTCACAGGGAAAACATTCTTATCCAGTTGCAATAGAACTCAGCACACCCAGTGAATCAGGTGTGTTGTATACATGATTTTCATGTGCCACTGCTCAGTCGACGAAATAGAGGTTTTTTTCTCTAGGGGAGGATATAATCCTATTGAAGACTGTGCAAATTAGTGTTGTGATTGTGTTTGGGCAGTCACCCCTGGGAAACCGTGATGACAGCTGCCATGAGGAAATACCCCAACCCCATGAACCCCAGCGTGGTGGGAGTCGATGTCCTGGACAGACACGTGGATCCCAGCGGGAAGCTGCACAGCCACAGGCTCCTGAGCACAGAGTGGGGAATCCCGGCCATTGTGAAATCGGTGGGTATTGTGTCACAGGCCAGAAAGGGACGCCGCAGGGAGGGGAAGCTCCTGAGCCAACTGTTGTAATAGATGTGCATTATTTCATAACTTTAATGGTTTAAACATTTAATGACTTAAGCATTTACGTATTGGGAAAGTGCAGCAGCAGCACACAGTGACCCTGGTAGCCAACTCTTGATCAGAGACTGCTGCTATCTGGAAAATGAGATCTATCTCAACTGAATAGCTTTGTTTTAAGCTAAATCCTAATAGTGTTCTCTTGGTGTCTGTTCAATGCAATAACCACTGCTTGTGCATTTAAAGGCATGAAGAATTGCAGTGGGTTAGTGGAATTGATGCCATCTCTGTTTGCCTGTCCCCAGCTCATCGGCACCTGCAGGACAAGGACGTACGTGCAGGAGCACTCTGTTGTTGACCCTGTGAAAAAAACAATGGAACTTAAATCCTGTAATGTAAGTACTTGTGGTTGTGCCACTGAAATGGATCACAGAGTATAACAGCACCTTGTACATATGAAAAGGAAAATCATCTTGAAAATAACATGAGAATTGTTTTAGAACAATGCAAGTTAAAGGTTTAAGTAATGTGGTAATAGTTGATCAGTTCTGTTTCTTAGGAAGGAGCTGCTTGGCTCTTGGAACTTGTCACTGCTGAAGCTGTGAACATACTGATGAACAAGAGGAGTTTTTTGGGTGGGGGTTGTGTTAAGAAAAAATGTTTTAAAGCCTCTTGGTCTATGTACACTGTGATTGTTTCCTAATCGTGTAACATCTTGCTCTCTGTAGTCCTGTGTTATTTGTATCAAGGCGTAATCCTGTCCTGTGTTCTACAGATTTCATTTACAAACCTCGTGTCAGTAGATGAGAGGCTTGTCTATAAACCACACCCTCATGAACCACACAAGTGAGTACCTCCTTGCTCTGAGATTGCCCACAGCTACTGGATTTTGCTCTGAAAATGTCCATGGTTTCCCTTGATCAGAAGATGAGGTTTACATGGCCTTTGTTACAGTAAATTGTCTGAAACAGGATAAAAATGGACTGTCACTTCCTGCAGTGACACTGGTTCTGAGACTCACTGGAACACTTTGGGTCATGCTGTGCTGGAGTCCAGTTCAGGGTGTTCTGTCTGTAACTGAGTTTGTGCACATCTGCAATTTTCAGCTCCTTGTTCTTGATCCCATTGTCACCCTGAGCACAGATCTGCACTAGAAAGCACATTCATGTGCCTTTAGCATCTGATTTTGGAGGTTTGTGTTTTGGTGGTTGCTTGGGGTAAGGCCACTTAGAGCTTAGTGAGTCTATGCTGCTGGAAGTGGTGATAATTCTGAAGGATCATTCTAGGGATTCTGACGCTGGAGTTCTTTTCTGTCATGACAGTCAGAAATGTTCAATCCCTATTGTTGAAGGGGATATTTTAATATTGTTTTCCCTGTATACTGCAACTCCATATCTGCTGATTCCACTCTTAACATTCTACTGCTAAAGATGGAAATGGCTGGGAGCCACAAAGGGAGACTTGGACTTGCCAGGCACTCTTAGGCTTTATTTTATAAGTAGAAGTATAAAGCAGTTATAAAGTGTGGAAATGGGTTTAGGGGGCAGGCAGTTCTGTGTTATAGAGCAAAGCTGATGAGGGAATGTACTTGTAGAGGAGGAGGGAGTTTATTTTTTAAACTACTCAGAGTAATTTAGTTTCCTGCTCTCTGTTTCAGAACCATTCTGACACAAGAAGCAATAATATCTGTAAAAGGTGTCAGTCTCAGCAGTTACCTAGAAGGGCTAATGGCAAACACAATTTCTTCCAATGCTAAAAAAGTAAGTATGGCCTTTGTAAATGTGTGGTCACTGACTGAATGTAAAAGGGAATAAAGATCTCTGTTTCACTTTTTGGCTTTATCAGCAGCCTCAGGAAGGGGCCACATAGTTCTGCTGCCTTTACTGTAGAGTCTGAATGCTCAGCATGCTGAACTTCCTCTTCTTTTTTCCCCTTGTGAATGGAGATAATAAATTGTTACTGGCAAAGGTCTCTGAATCTTCCTGGGAGAAAACATCTTCCCTCACTCAACAGTGTGGCACTGTCATTCTTTTGCTGCCCTCTTGATGCCATCTGATCACTTTTGCTGTCAAAAAGGGATCTACATTCATACAGAAAGAGTTATGTGGGAACAATGAAACAGTATTTTAGTTGAGAGTCCGTTCTCTGGCAATTCAAAGATATCTGGAGTTCAGCCTCAAGAATGATAAAGCAGTCTGGGTAAAAAGTCCTTTGTGGTTCATGATGTGAGAACTGCTGATATAAAGAATTGTTTTCATGAAATCAAAGGCAGAACATGTTCCAGCAGTACTCCAGTTATTGAAATAACATCAGAGACACGTATTTCTGTTCTTTCCTCTTTCAACTACTGTATCTTTAGTCATTTTCAGTAAGAATTTAGCTGATTTACTTATTTGCTAAGCTTTACACACTAATAAACTTTTCTTTAACTGTAGGGCCGTGAAGCATTGGAATGGGTAATTAAAAGACTAAATGCTGAAATTGAAGAGTTTGCAGCTTCAGCAAGAGGAACCATGAGGAATTCAATGGCAGCAGCAGCATTTGTAGAGAAATGATGATAGTTCTTAGACCTGTATCACTAACAAGGCTTAATGACCTGCAGCTTTTCTCCAGGCTTAAATACATGCATCCTTTCTTATTTAAAGGATGTGTGTATTAGGCATGTTATAAATTTAATCTGGAGAAAAGCTGAATTCTTACCAAGGCTGGGGCTCAAAGGCAATTTAATATATTGGGTCAGCTGGACCGAATTGCGGTTACAGATGAAGAAATAAATTTCTAACTGTAGTTCCTGTATTTACATGAACTCTAACTTATAATGTTTGCAGATATGAAATAGCCTCATTTAGTGGTGAGGCTGCATATGGTGGAGGACACTGGCATGTTAGGCTAACTTTTATTTTTTGTGTGACTTATGGACTACCTCTTTTGGGACCAAGCCCAAAATTAAGCAGAATGGTTCTTCCAGCATTGTTCTTTTTGTTGATTTTTGGCAGCTGTGTGATACAACTTGGTTTTACAGAAAGCTTATTACTTGATGCTTGAAATATAAAAGAATGTTCAAAATATTTTTTGATAAGCTTTTTAACTTGACTGGTTGAACTAACATGGTACTCAAATTATTTTTCAGTCACTATAGGTAAAACATCAAAGTGTCTCTTACCTACCTACCAAGACCTAAATCCTGCTCCTAAATGCAACATTAATGAGCTGGGCATGCAGTACCTTAAAATCAAATTTTATCTTAAACTTGTAAGTATAAGAAGTATCTCCATTTCTAAAAGCCCATTACATAAAGGTACAGTAAGCAAAGAGCCTTAAAATCTTGTAAGCTGCTACAGTAGCAGGTGTTCACTCCAAAGAACCAATTAAAGACTGAAAAACCTTTGAAAAGGTGGCTGAGGAGATACCTAAATATAAGAGGAAGTAGTATTTAACAATATTCTCATTAACTTGATCAGGTTCCAGAAATAACCTGCTCCATCCACTGGATATTGTGTTGTCCTTTACTTTGACCAGTGTTTTAAGTTCCAAATCCCTTTACCCTTTGAACTTATTTGCTCATAGTACAAGGCCCTTTGTGTTCTCAAGGTTTTCACTTGGTGTTCTCCAGTCTCTGTTTCCTGGTACTCACTGCAGGTTCTTGGTACTGTTGCTGGTCATTTGCTGCAGGAACCGAAAGGTCAGCCCTGTGTGCCAGGCTGTGTGTGTGCGTGTGCAGGCTGTGTGAGTGTGTACCAGGCTGTGTGTGTGTGCAGGCTGTCTGTGTACCAGGCTGTGTGTGTGTGCAGGCTGTGTGAGTGTCTATGTGTGTGTGTGTAGGCTGTCTGTGTGTGTGTGTGTGCCAGGCTGTGTGTGTGTGTGTGTGCAGGCTGTG